TGCCCTGTAGTCAATGCTGTCCCATGTCCAAGCTGTTCCCTTCCATTGAACCACTGCTCTGATGGCTGAGCTCCTTGTCAGGCACTGGCAGGCAGAAGTTGTATGCTCACCACAGAGCCTGCTGGAGGTGGAGGCACAAATCAGCAGTCAAAGTGGGCGGCCATCAGCACTGGAGTGTGATATTTTTTACTTTTTTCTTTTAAATGCATCTCTGATTAGCTCTTGCTTAGCGTGCTTGGGTCTGCATCAAAGCAATCCTGACAAAAAATGGCAAGAAATGTTTTGCTGATGCATGCTGACATACTGGTAGGGTACAGGAGTTGGTTAGATATTTTCAGAAAATCTTGATCTAATATATAGAGTTATAGAATCATTAAGTTTGGAAAAGACCACTGCGAACATCCAGTCCAACCATCCACCCTGGCTCACCATGCCCACTCGCCATGTGTCTCACTGCCATATCTCCAAATCTCTTGAACACTCCAGGGGTGGTGACTGCACCTAGGCAGGTGTTTTAGGCAGTAGCAGCTTTGTTTATATACAGTAAAGTGAAATGCCCCCAGCTGTAAGCACCTTCTCATGCAGATATCTGTGTTACTGGTGAATGTAAATGAGGAACCTAATGATACCTGTTCAGTCAAGAGTGGTCTGTGGTCACCCTACTCTGTCTGTGGCCAAACTTCAACAACTGCTGTATGACAGTCATCAGAAAGTTCCATCGGAAGGTAGAGATTACTTCTTGTCATGTTTTTAAAGTGAGTAGAAAAATCCACTGCCTTCTAGGTGCTGCATCCTGGAAGACTTCATGTAATACATTTGTAACTATTTGGTAGGACTGATGACTTTTTAAAGAATATTCAGTCAACACTGTCAGCGTTACGACTATTTATAAATGTAAATAAAGCTGCCTCTGATGCTTCAGCAACAGTGCTGACAAAACACTGCTGCATGTGATCCAGCTAAGACAGCAACACATTATTTTGAAATTGAATTGTGTGTAATTCATGTTGCTGTGTTTTCTCAACTTGATTATTGTAATTATTGTAATTCCTTTGCTTAGGCGTGAAGCCATGCACCCAAGGAATCTGACTTTTGCAAAACACAGTGCCTTTCTGGGGTAGCCTGGCAGAGCAGAGGGAACGTGTTACTTTTGGTGTACCCTGACTTTTCATAGGTGAATTTCTCTGCAGAGTTTTCTCCTTTCCAGCATCTATCCCAGGAGCTGGCTGTAATTATTTCACAGAAGGGGTTTTTCTTCCCCATCCTGCTTTCCCTCCCATCGTGTTCTGCTGAAGCGAGTGGCTGAGGGACACTAGGAAGCCATGGCTTTACTGGTAGCATTCAGAACTAGGTTCCTTAACTCTCGGTGAATTCTTTGTCAGCAGATAAGTGCTTTCCTTTTTTAGCTGCTGCATGCAAACTCACACCACTTTTCACTTGGGGTAATAGAGAAGATAACATGTATACACTTTTCAGAATTGAAAATGTTATCTGTAGGTGAATTCTTCTCAAATGAATGCTAAATAGCTGATTTCTGTGCAATTCCATCTCTAAGGTCAAATGCTATTTTGAGAGTTGAGGAATTTAATTTTTTGGTCTGTCGTGGCTTGGGAACCTACCAGAGACCAAACAAAGAAGAATCCCAGAGTAGTATGTTATAGGTATGAGGTGGTTGGATTTTTTGTGTGTTTTTTATTCTTGTTTGTTTGTTTTGTGATGGTGGCTTTTTGGTTTGAGGGTTTTTTTTTTTTTAATAATTATTTTTTTAAACATTATTATTTATTGTTATCATTACCTTTGTTTGCATAATCTTATAAAGCTGGGGTTAATTTCATAAGTTTTTGCCATACTCTGTATTCTTAGAGTTTTGGAATCCCCTTAATCTAACTTTAGAGGCAGTTAGGTATTTTAAAGCACTACAGCTTAGAGTCTTTATGGCAATTACTGTTGTCAGTAACACATCTGAAATTCCATTTCATCCTCTTTACAAATATAAATGAACCCTAAATAACTCCCAGCTTCTCAAATAAGTGAAGCATATTTGAAGCTCACAGAGTTGCTGGTATTCCTTTCTTTCAGCTACTAGTCTACGTAAGAACTTGGGATGACTGTACCAGCAGATGCAGCCACGTGTGGGTGGGTTCCTCTTGCAGCTGTTCATTCCAGGATTCTCATTGTGCTGCTGTCTCTTTTTTCATGTTCTTGTGTCTAAGAATGTTCTCCTGGTGCTTGTTTGGTATGTACTCCAGCTGCAATTGAATTTTCACACCACTGTTTTCACAATGGTGTGTTTTCTGTGCAGTTGGGTTTCACTGAGCACCTGCAAGGCTAAGGTGTCTTACAGTATTGGAGCTATGGTAGCCATCAGTAGCTGACCAGGACTGTTTGTTTGTTTTGGTTAAACGTGTATTTATATGGGCATATCACTTGTCCAAGTATCAGAATTATTTGCAAACTTTTAAGAATAAATATTTTGTCAGAGCCTGCAAATTTTGTGCCTTTTTGTTACAAAGATTTTTTGTATGTGTGTGGGATGGAAAATTATCCATATTCAGCAAACATTTAAAAAGATTTTGGCTAGGTGAAAGTTTTAAACCCGTATTAGGAAACTTGGAATTATGACTCCTTCAGCAAATGTAAATTATTTATATTCTGATTTTAAATAAAAAAGCCAAACAGCCTAATGTTACCACAGTGAGTTATTCAGCCTTAGTTAAAAAAGTTAATTAGAAATGTTCACTAGACTAAAAATTTTAGAGTAACTCTTGTTTTTTTCTTTTACTCATCCTGTTTCCCCACTACTGCATCCTTCTGGTTAGGTAACGAATCAGCTTGGAGTTAGATATGTTTTTGGTCATCTTCTTAGACTGACCCAAAATATATTTGATCAGGAATTGAATCCCTCACTGACATAGGCTATTTTCTTCCATTCTTCTAACCTGATGTGCATTACATTTCTGGCCACTGTACCATATAAAGTTGGTATGAAGCTTAACTGTAGCTGGGACTTGGATCTTCCCTATGCGGGTGGCAGAGACTTTATGGGATTGAGACTGGATTGACACATGAGACTGCTTGACAACTGCTCTTTGTGTACATAACAGCCTGGGTCCTTATCTTAACATCTTGATTAAAGCCATCAGTAACATCATTAACAGTATCACACGTGCATTACTCTCATAAGAGTTTGTAATTTATGTTGCTGCTTATGAATAGAGCTGTTTACTTCTCATGAAGTAAGTGTTGCATGTTGCTTATAGACTGGAAATGTCAGGAAAACAGTATTTCTTTGGATTGCACTTGAACCAGGTGTTAGAGAGCTTTTCTAGTTATGAGATGTATAAACTCTTGTTTTAATTGCAAATTTATTATGGAGAACATCTTAGCCAAAATGAGAGGCTCAGTGGAAAAATCCATGGCCGGGCTGTACAGCCCTGTGCTTAAAAGTATTGTTGCAATTTCAGCAACTGCTAATGTGAAAGAGAAGTATTAGAAAAGCATTTATTATTATCAGAGGGATATTAATGCAAGTTATGGGTAGAAATGAGGAGGAAACATCATTTTACCCGTCTGCTCTTACCAGACAGCAGGCAAATGCTTTACAGACCACAGTTTGGTTTTCTGTTCCAGCTTTTCAGATTCCAGCATGCAACTGACTCTCAATCAACTCGGATGCTGCTGTACTTTTCCTCTTTGTTTTGAGAAATTAGAAGAGGGACTAAACTGTAAGAAGGATTTGAGAATCAAAGATATTCAAACGAAAGTTAGTGAAGTTGCAATTACAAGTCAGAGTCTGCCTAACTCAGTGTAGTGCAGCAGCATCTAGTGAAGTCTTTGCCCAGACTTTTACCAATTTTTTGCCTTGGTGAATAGTCTCAAAGACAGATATTTACTGTTATGTACACTTTTTGACCTGTCATTCCAAGTCCATAGCAAATGAAACCATAACAACCACTGAAATAATAGTTAAGATACGTGAATTGTAGCACTTCAACTGATGAGTAAACCATTCCAGTAAGTTGGCATGAGGCCACTTGCGATGTAATAGCATTTTTTATAAAGTATTGCCATAGCAACAGATCTGGATGACATTGGGTAGCTGGTTGCTGTTGACTGCTGGAAATAAAACAGACTTTTAGCAGCACATGTGTAATGTCTGAAGGTAAAGTAACCCAAAATAAATGCCTGTGCTCTACTGAGAATGCAGCACGGGGCACATCAAGCCAAAGTCTGACTTACTGGCTCATGAATTTAATCCTTCAGTGAAAGTGTTTCTATATAGAAAACAAAGCCATGTATGCTAGCAAGATGTGCTGCAGTTGACATCTGGGAATAAAATAAAGGAAAACTGAGAGAAACTGTATTGCAGGTCATTTTAAGCATAAAACATCAGTTATTTTCAAGGCAAGAGTTCTAATGCTGTAGGAAGTGCAGCTGGATATGATGTTGCAGTGGAAAAGATGAAAAAGGGGATACAGTGAAGATTGAAAACTTCTGTGGCTCTGCTGGAAAGCCATCAAGTAGAAAATGGCATGAGAACTGGACAGTGAAACAAAATTTAAGTGAGGCTGAAGCCTGTTTTTTTATTAATAGCTTTTTTGTTTTAAATAGTACTTCCTGATACTGAAACACTGAGCCTTTGTTACACAATGCAGCCAAGTTAATACTCAACAAAGGATCCAGATCAATATAGCAAAGTAGAATATGTAGGTAGAAAGATCTTTGGAGGTTCATTAAAGAAAAAAGCAAAACCCCTGGAAAACTTATCTCTTCCTTTTCATGCAGATGATGTTTCTAAGTCCCCTTTAAAGACAGAAAAAAACACACTCATACATGTATATTAGCAGGTCAAAGAAGTGTGTATTCTCATAGTAATACGATGTGCTTTCCAAAAGAAGTACTACATGAAAACATATATGAAATATACTTAAAAAGCTTGAAGCTATTAAGCTATCAGAGAACTCTATTTATCTTTTCTTCTTTTTAAATTTCTTTTAAAGATAAAAATACAGACATTACTGTAAAGGATAACACGGATGATTTTTGCCTTCGAGATACACTAAGCATTGCATCGACGGACTCTTTTGTTTCCACAGCTGAGGTAAGACACTTAAAGATAGATTCTTGAAAGATTAATGGATTTATTTGAATAGTGAAAATTTTTTTTTTTTTTCCTTTTTTTTTTTTTTTTTTTTTTCCAAATTATTACAAGAAAAGGATTTTTCTCTTATGGAGAAAGAAAAAACAAGCAAACAATCCTTATCTTGCTTACTTGTAACCAGATTCCTATTAGCTGGAGTAATGAAATTGGAATCAGTCTGCTTACTATCTGTTTTTTGGTGGCTTTTTTTTTGAGGGGGGGAGGAAGATGGGAGGAGGTTGGAAGAAGGAAGATGGTTATCTGGCAGTATGTTTTAATAAGTCCTTCTAAAAAGTAGTTGCTTTTAAAAGTACCTCAGATTTTTGTGATTAGAGAGGCATAACCAATTTGAGGCTATAGTAGATCCTCTTTCCATGAATTATGATTTTCTATTTTCTTTTACTTTCTTAGATAATATGAATAAGTACGAAGCTGTCTTTGCCTTCTTTGGAGTCTTTTTTTTTTTTTCCTTCTTATAAGAAATTATTGGTGATTGGTAGGTATTGTTTCAGTATGCTGTATTCTTCACCTGATTTCCCCTTATCTTCTCGGATAAGACTGCAAAAGATGCATAAAGAAATAATCTTTGGATAAGATGATATTGCCTGTTAGCTCCAATATGCTACAGCTCCCTTGGAATATTTGGAAGAATTTAATGTATGGTGTTGAATGAGGAACATCTCATTTTATAGTCTCTCACGAGCCGAAGTGATTTTGAATAGCACTCTTCTCCAAATTACAGAGAAAGCAATTGGTCTCTGGGTATATTTGCACTAAATATTATTATCATATATGCACTATAAATAAGCTACTGAACTCATTTGGAAAAAGAGAGAAAATTGCATGCACGTGCTTTGCCATTATTTTTGCAGGTATGCGAAGATCAGAACAATCCACTGTACTCATTTATGTTGCTTTACTTAACAGTAAAAAAAATAGGATGCATCACTTTCAGGGAATGTTCATCCAGAAGCTGAATTGTGTCAATATTTGCTAAAGAAACAATTGAGTTAAAATTTGCAACAGCCTTACACCTTTCTCTTGTCTTCACTTATCCTGAAAATAGTCTCCACAATTTGATACCTCAAAGCCTCTTCCATCAACTCTTTGTTATCAGAGGAAAGTTATGACCAGGTTCCTTCCTTTTCAGCTGTTCTAGCCTTTACAAATAGAACATGCTCTTTGATGTCCTTTGTCAGATTTTACTGAAGGATTTTAAAAGATTTTCAGCTGCTAGGAGGAATTCTGAAGATTAGCAAAACCATGAATGATACTGTTCAAATTGGAACACCACCAAACTCCTGGATTAAATATGGGCCTCTGAGCTTGAGCTATAGAGCTGGTTGGCTCTGTAGTAGTAGCATACTGGGGCATTGTTGCATAGTAAAACAAAGTTGTAAATCAGTGCCAGCTATCTTCTCTCAGGAGTGTGTTACCTCAATGTAAAATTTTGGTCATCCTGTGCAAGAAAATGTTTAAAATTAGCACTGAAAATAACTGCTGCAATCACAAGGGATAACTGCTGCTTCTCAGAGTATTTCAGCTAGTGATAGAGAACAGTGATTGCTTAGAAGTAACTGGATTAGAACTGGTACACCAGATTTTTTATTCTAGACGTGATGGTGTCATACAGATTCATCTTGCTTATCAACTTCCTGCATATTGTTCTTGCAGATGCAAAGAAGCGGAATGTTTCAGGTTAAGGGGCTGAGTTTCTTTCAGCTTTCAGTGTTTCTTTGGCAAATGAACATTTGTTCTTTCATCCTGTGCTCCATGATTGCAGTTCCAATTTTAGCAACCATCCCAAACTGCTTTTGCCAATAGAAATGTTTATCTCAAATTCATAGACAGTAATAAGTGCATGTATATTTTTGCCCTACTGGAATCATTAGTAATTTCACCTTCTGGAAAATTAAATAGCAGTGGAATATTTTCTGGTCACATCATACCACAGGCTGTATTGACAGTTACTCATTTTCTTTCTGCATTGCATCCTGTCCAAAGTAGCAGTACTAAGTATTTTCTGTTTCTCTAATGTTAAAGACTGGAAGCTGTTTCCATGTTTTTGTGCTGGCACAAGTCAAATGTAGTTCACTGCCCTCAGTAGGAATACAAGCAAAGACATGGGGAATCCTAAACCAAGCCGCAGGTAGATATGATGCACATTGATATGTACACTGCTTAGGAGGTTACAGGTATTGTGCTGCATCGCATTAGGACAAAACACAGGAGGATAGTTTTCAGTAAAAGAAATGTACAAAACTGGAACAGTTGGCAAGGATTAAATCACATCCCCTTTCGATGAACACTTTAGGAGCAGTAGGGTATGCTAGAATTTCATCTTGGCTATGACCGATACTCAAGAGAATCCTGAGGATCATGGCCTTGATGATTGCAGGTGTCCAGATTGGCACAATATATAGGTGCAAAAATCCTCATAAAGGTGCCATTCCCAATCCCAGCCAGACTTCTGTTCCAAAACACAGATAGGCCTCTCAGAAGCACTGCAGAAGGAACAGTAGGCATAACTATTTGCCTTAAGTTATTGATACTGTTTACTTACTGTGATAAATAATGGTGTTTTTATCCTTATTTGAGACTGCTCTCAGCTTGCATTTATGAGAGTTAGGATGCTTTTCATATTCTTGTGTTCTCACCTACTGTGTGATCAAAATAGCTGCCTCTTTTGGCAAGTATACAACAGTGTGTGTGCCAGAAAAAGGTCTCCACCTTCTCTTTTCTGGCTTCTTTTCCATTTTTCTTCTTTTCCTGTCTCCCTGACGGTGAATTTCATTGCTGCCTCTGTGTTGTTGGTACACTTGTGTTTATGATGTCTTACTTCTTTATGTTGATTACAACTGAATTTGTAGTTCTGTTAGAAAATAAACTTTGCTTTATTTGTGGAAATGTTAGCTCAGCCCAGAGCTTAGGAAATTTTTAAGACTTGTGAGAAAATCCTTAGCTGTCCTTTCCTGTCTGCTCCCCACATAATTATTTTACGAAGATTGTCTTCTTTGCTTCAAATCTGTTAAAAACAAAGTAGTGCAGGAAGCAACAGGCTTTGATAACAGGGAAAGAATACCAGTTTCTATAGGTCTGAACCTATTTATAAATGGCACAGCAGCCTTCAGAATGTCTAAGACAGAATTTTAGATCCAGAACATGCTCCAGAAGTGCTCTGACACTGAAAAGTAGTGTTGCCTTTTTCCTGCTTTCCCAACAGAAGTTTTATTTCTTTCCTAAAATAGAGAATTCTGGAGGGAATGGTGTTAGCAAATAATAGCAATGTATATTCTATAGCATTTATTAATGAGTTTTCTTTCCCTTTTCCATTACAAAGATTCAAGATGTGCCTTCCTGTTTTCTGACTGACTTCAGAATTGTGCCTATTCTTGCTAATCTGATCTTCTCAGGATTCATCATTCTTCTCATCCTGGTCACTCCTGATATGTTCATTTAGTCCACCCAATGTCATATGGATTACTGCTTTATCTCAGAACATGTCTTGCAGTCTAGCACGCTCTCCATGAAAAACCATGAGGAGCTGTTTAACAACTTCATAAAACACGTGGAGAAAGGGAGGGAAGAATTAATATATAAAAGAAAAATCTTTTTAAAGATGCAGATAGCCAGAGAAATAATTCATTCATCTTTTTAATACAGGATAAGCATCATTTCTCAGAACACAAGGAAAGCTGACTGCACCAGTAAAGTGACCTTTTTATTACAGGAAGCAAGCAAGAATTCCTAAAAGGGCCAGCACTGCGTATTTTTGGTACTTTCATGTAGGTGGTCATTTTGGTAGTCAAAAAGATTTTTCTGCACGGCTGAGAATTTTTTCTATTTATTAAGAAACAACTTGTGGTTGGCAAACAAAAGCACTGAGTCTGTCTGTATTTCTTAACCGCTCTGGTCCGAGTTTAAAAGCTATTGCAGGTTCCGGGGTTTGATATTTTACATTTGTTTCATCAACTCATCACTAATACGTGCAGCCTTAAAGCCAAACTGTCTGTAGAAAACAGGTTGGTGTCTGAGCACCATACAACATACATTGAGCAATGTACATTGTGAACTCCAGAAGCTGTTGTGCAGCACAGAGCATCGAGACACAAGCTATCATTGTGGGCTTTAGAGTTTTGAAGACATACTGACGAGGGAAACAAGAACAGCTGTGGGAGAAAGTTATCACTTCCACTTTCCTGAAGATATTCATAATGTAATTATTCTGTATTTTCAGTGTCTTTACAACTTTCTTAGTTTGCTTTCTTTGAACCGCATGGAGACTCATCAGATCTAACTAGTGAAAATCAGAGCAGGTGCAAGTTTATGAATTAAACTTTTACAAATCAAAACCCGAAGCTGTTGATTTCAGATTTTGAAAGGTATGAAATTACAGCCCTATTAATAGCACGGTGCCCCACTTTGGTTTACTAGCTCAGTGTTGCCCCCTCTTTTCTTATGTTATTTTTTTTTTTTAAAGCAGCTACAGAAAAGGATACAACTTTATTAGAAGATCAGGAAAACTTTGGCAAGTTCTTTAAATGAATGTTACTTTTTTTTTTCCCCCCAGCTTACGGAGCATAGAGAAGTTCGTAATACCTATGGGCTAGATTCCCTTTGCCATTGCCCACTGTATGAAGAAGCAATGCACTTAGCAGAAGAAGGCAAAGTTTATTCACGAGTATTAAGGTATTAATGTATTGATTTGTCTACTTAACAATCTGCAAGAAAAGAAAACAATAAAATTAAATATTCTGTGCAGAATACAGGATTCTCATACAGGGTATTTTGTAGTTGAATTTTCTTGTGCTTCTTTATTTGATGTTTTAATTATTATTATTATTTTTTTTTTTTTAAATTTTTCATAGGACTGAAATGTTTGAATGTCTTGGGGACAGCGACTTCCTTGCTAAGCTTCATTGTATTCGACAAGCTTTCCAGGTAAGCAGAAAGCAAAGTCATCTGCCTTCTTAAACCTAAGACACATGACATTGAAGTGCCACTATCTGTGCAGTACTCATGCAAATGTTTTAATAACATATCCCATAATTAAGCATATTCTTAATTATTGCTATAATTTCTACTTTTCTGTAATTCTAAAATGGGGCATCCCAATCTTATGATGAACAAAATTTGGAATACTTGCACCAAAGACTTCTTGGGAACTTGCCTACTATGCCAGTGGTTGTAATGAAGAAAACTTTATTAAATTTGATCGAAATAATTAAAGATCACTTGCTATAATCTGCGAATGAATATGTCCATGTTTTCTAAAAACTTTTCTAGATAATTCTTTCAGAAACAGCAAACAGAATATTTCTTGCTGAAAGTGGAAGAAAAATTTTATCTGCCCTAATTGTGAGAGCACGAAAGGTAAAAGCCTTTTTTTTGACTAATGTTTCACTGCTAAAGTAACTTCTACCATAATTCATTTTATAATGTAAATAAACCATCTCTTGTGTTAGCTTTGCTTGACATTTCATTGCTTTTACTTTGCAGAATCCAAAGAAATTTGAAGATGTCTTTGATGAAATGATATATTTCTTGGAACAAACGGATCACTGGGATAATACTGAAATGGAACTTGCTGCTAGAGGAGTGAGTGTGACTTTTTGAAGTGTTTTTACCCTCAATTATGCCAACTGTAGCAGCCAAAAATAATTCTTTTCAGTTCAGAATTGTGGGAAAGTCAACTCTGTCATGCCTAACAATCCTGACTTAGAGAAATGGCATCCACCAGTGTACTTTAGTACCAGAAAGCATTTACGTTTTGTTCTGCTTCTCTTTACATCTGTATGTTAAAACAGTTAGAATATGATGCATGTTGAATTCCACTGCTGAAAGAGAAACTCAGTTACTTAGACCATGTTCTGGTTTAATATAGGTAAAAAACTTGAATTTTTATGATGTTGTTCTGGACTTCATTTTGATGGATTCATTTGAAGATTTAGAAAATCCACCAATATCTATACAGAATGTAGTGAACAACCGCTGGCTGAATTCCTCTTTTAAAGAAACAGTAAGTATTTGTTATTTTCATAATCCTGGTATTGTTGTGGTGTATCAGTGTAAGTAGATGCTATGGTGAATATAACATCGATGTGAGCATTCTGATATAAAATTCTGTATATCCTGAAATTATTCTTCTGGTGATCTGTGCTTTATGTTATTAGAGTGGATTCTCAAGAATGAGAATAAATCCATCAGCTCCATAATAGAGACTATGTATATCATCTTGATAAAAGCATTTAATTTTGAAATAAAGAATCTATGTGCTCCTTCAGTGTAAAGACTAATTCAGCTTCCACTACAATTATATGTACTGAATATATACCTGAAGTATCTTCAGCAGAAAAAAAAAAAGTTGTTTTATCACTATCTTTTTTTTTTTGTGATCACAGTTTAGAAGCTACCACTCTGCCAAAAATATATCAGATGGTTGAGTATATTGGGGAAAATACTTTAGCCTGACCTGCAAAAATATGTTTGCTCTAAGTAAAATTTTACAAGGGAATTTTCTGTTAGCCCCATCTTAGATATTAGATCCAGATTTTGGTACATAAACCAGAGTGCTAGCAGTAAGGCATGAACATCCAGGTACAAGTAAATGAACACAATGCCATCCCACACACACACATATTGTAAGTATGCAATAACAGCATTTTGAGAATAGTGAATTATCTTCAAGTACGCATGGAGAATCAGATGGGGATAGAATTCTGCTAGAAGCTATGAGGGGGGGAAAAAGAGGAGTTCTGATATGGGTATATTGTATTATACACAGCCATATTTGGACAAAACTACTTCGCTGAATCTGAAGCTATTGCAGGAATGTTTTTGCTAAAAGTAAAAAGGACATTACGATGTGTTCACATGCTATTTAGTATCTAAAATAGCTGCTGATGTCTGAGCACACTTTCTGGTATATAATGGACTGACCCTCAGTTAAACTGAGTAGATGTTGCTAACTGTTTGACTGTAAAAAAAAAAAACAAAAACCAGTCAGGAGTGCCAAATCACATTTTAATTAATCTAAGGAAAGTGTAACAAAGAAAGATTTCAAAATATGAACAAATATGAACACTTTGTAAAATCAGTTGTTTGCATCAGCTGATATTTTATACTTGAAAATTTTGTGTTACCACAAAATTGAAACTAGAAGGACATTTGGAAATATAACATCTGCACATCAGTGCTTTTTAGATGAAAATTTTTATAATTGTTGTTTTATAATGTTTTATAATGGTAATGGACACTTTAAATTTTTTTTTTTGTCTTTTTCTTTTTTTTTATCTTTTTTTTTTTTTTTTTACATCTAGGCAGTGGCTTCGAGCTGTTGGTCAGTACTGAAGCAGAAAAGACAGCAAATGAACGTAAGTTGCTTTGCAAATTATATGTACCAAAGCTACTCCAAAGAACACGAAGTTCTGCCTTATTTTGGAAAAAATAATTACAGATCAACCCTTACTCCTGTAGACATATTAGTTTCAACAAGTCTGTCATTTGAAGTTTAGCTTGTGGGGTTTTGATACGAGTTTTTTAGCAAAAAGTCTTACCTGAAAAATTCTAAAACCAGTTTAGGCCAAAAAATAGTTGAGAGTAGAATCTGTGATTTCTGGGTCCACACGTGTATTTCAGATTTTTGCAGACCAAGGTCACTGACTGGGGACATTCTCAACCCTGTGTCCCTGCACCGTCCCAAAGCTAACTGTAAGTCAGTCCCATTTCTTTACTTACCTGAAGTTGCCCTCAAGGACTGCCAGATCTGTGCTGCAGCCTCCCTCAGTGCCCTTTGGCATCCTGGCTTTCATGGAAGAAACTGCAGATTGTGAAGCAGTACTCCTCTGTGACAGCAGCTCCACTTTTTGTTTGCTTTTAGGGGTTTTTATGAGACCTGAAGGCAAATGCCTCCATCTCTAATATTCCGTTCATAAGCGAAGTTGAGCTTTTCTGCTGGACAGCCATAGCCATTGGAAGTGATTTTGCATACTGCAGCTGAGGAAGCCCAACTTTAGTGATTCCAAACTGCGTGCCTGAACACAAAGGATGGAAAAGAAAATCAGGAAACAATTAAGCTGTTGTATTTGAGCGTCTGTAGAGGAAGAGCCTAATATTAGCAAAGCTTTTGACATTGTGGAGAAGGGGATAACTGGGTATTTAGAGCTGTACTTGATTCCTACTTTCCAATAGCAGAAGTTAACTTTTAGAATGGAATTGTAAGGAGGCGTTTTAATTTCTAGACGGCTTCAAATGCAATTTCTTACTTTTTACAAGATTCAGCCAGGATCTCAAACTGGAGTAACTGATTAAACTTACCTGATCTGTCAGGTGGGAGAATCGGAGTAGGTTGGTCGTGAACTTATTTGCCTTATTCCTAATAATGCAAAGTACCAGAGGAGTTTAAAACAAACAAGCTTACAAACAAAACCAACACCACTTTTCTAAAACAAGAGTTGCTTGGTGGAGTTACCAGGTTGCCACAACTCTGCAGTGGTGGGTTTTTTAGGCTTTTTTAAACACAGTTTTATGTAATAAGGTTTTATTTTAAATGTACTGTGTAACTCTCCACTTTTTACATCCCCAGGTACCTGATGGATTTTTTGCTCATTTCTATGCTATATGTGAACATATCAGCCCTGTTTTGGCATGGGGTTTTTTGGGTCCTAGAAATTCCCTTTATGACTTATGCTGCTTCTTCAAGGTTTGTTCCTTCTTCTTAATTAAAAAAAAAAAAAAAAAATCCTGTGGAAGAAAAGAAATTAGGATCTTGCTTACAGGCACACATTTGTATTTTCCTAAAATTAAAGCAAACAGTAAAAATGATGGAAATATTTACTATCATATTGACTAAGCTTTTTAGGCCTAGAACTGTTCTATGAAGTATATTTTAGTGCACTTATATCTCTGCACTGGAAGAATACATAAATGGATGGTTTTGTGAAATGTGTGCAAGAAATAGGTAACATTGCATGCTTTTTCCTCTTTCTTCTTGTAAATAAACACACCTGTTTCCTTTTTTTTTTTTTTCCCCCACTAGGATCAAGTGCTTTTCTTCCTCAAAGACATCTTTGACTTTGAGAAGGTACGATACTCAACTATGGAGAGTTTGGCTGAAGACCTCATGCAGTTACTAATCCGACGCACTGAACTTTTGATGGCCTACCTTGGAGCAGATTCATTGAAACATGCCAGTGCTTGTGTAAGTGGTCATGGGCATGTGATGACCAGTGGGCTCTTGGAAGCAAAGGCTCAGTAAGCTTAAAACCCATGAGATGTGAGATGGAGTGCACTTTGACATGCTCCTTCCCACCTTTCTTTCCCACCCCAAAGCTTTCATTGCTGTTAATGAGCAAACATCTGACAATGTACCATGTTGCTAAGTAAGGAAAAGGACTCAGGGAGAATACACATCTACAAAAAGAACTGGTGAGCATACTGTTGTATATATCTAAATTAAATGTGCAGCTCAGCTGACATCATGTTTATATTTAATGTATCCCAAAGCTTTTTTTCTGTAATATTTTGGTAAAGTTTATTTATGAAATACTGTACTTTTGCCACAGATAATTTGTAAGTGGAGCCGATGGATGTGTCTCATGTAAAGGCTTACAGTACAAAATGTTCACTACAGAGTCTCAAAGTCATGATGTGTCTAGGCCAAGGAGGTGTTTCAGTGGGGGTATATGCAGTTATACAGTCTCTGGTTCATGTGACACGTGCAATAAAGGAATCACAGTCACAAAACTGAACATGTTGCCACTGCCCTGAAGTTACATTTGTGTGGATGTAAGCAGTCGTTTTGTACTACAGTATAAGAGTGATGCAGGCACCATTTGGGCAGTAATGACTTCCAGTATGCATTTTTTTGCTTTATTTTTTGCACAAAATCTAATAATCATGAAGGTGTTTGTATGAGACCACTTTTTATATCCAAACAGCTATGCTAGTTTCACCAGTATTTTTTTCTTTTTTAAAACTGCAAAGACTGTAAGTGGTGGTGATGGATATAATTCTTAGTTCTTATGTAGCATTTCAAAATACGTTTTTAAATCATGATAATTTTTTAATTGTGAAACAGAATCAAGGGCAGTGTTTTGTAATTAAAAGCATTTACGTCTTCCTGCCTTCCTTGTAAGGAGGTCAATTATCTGTTTGGGAGGAAATGTGGTGATTTTGGCCATAAAGGTTAACATGCAAAAGTGTGGTGGCTCAGGATATGGAAACCTTAACGTTGGTTAGGAGGCAATACAGTAATGAGGCACGAGAAAACTTGCAGCAACATTCTGACTGTGTTAAAGCTAATAATGATCTATAGTCTTGAATTCCTTTAAACTGAAACAGTGTTTTTTAGTTAGCTTTTAAACTACGTTGATGTATTCTTGGCCACACAAAGCCAGCCTACAAGAATTCAGCCTGTGTTAAGTAAGTAATGAGACTAATTATAGACTAATTCTAAACATTCAGATATTCAGGAGCATGTTGTTGTGATGTAACATATTGAAGCAAACTTTGATTAGAAACATTTCAACTGCTGTTGCACAAATAACCCAAACTGATGGTACTTGAAGATGAAGGCCAGTGTCTTTCCATAGGTTTTACTGAAGCCAACTTTTTGTCGTGTTCATTTGATAAAGATGATGAAAAAGTATCATATGACTTGTGTGAAATGCCAACTGATTATATTAAAAAAACAAAAAACAAAAAATACAAAAAAAACCCCAAACTATAATTCTATGTGTAATAAAATAGAAGTTCCAAATGCTACTGTTGCACTGTTTCCACCATTCAGGTTGCTGAACTTGGCACTCTGCTGTACTTTTCTTTCTCAGTTGATAATATCTGCAATACCAGAATGTGAAGTTTGTGTCACCCTTCTCATTTATCTTAAGCATACTTATCTCCTCTCATTGTAGTGCTCAAAAATTCCTGTCTGATGACAGCTTTCTGCAGTCTGTCAATGGAATTATATTGAACTATAAGGTGTCAAACTGGATTCAGAATCAGTAAGAGAGTAAATGGCATATTTCACACCAAATATACCACTTGGGCACTTGGTGTGTCACAGGAAGCTTAGTTGGTCTGGTCCAATAAAATGTTGAGAAAATGATACCTTAGCATTCATCACAGAAAAGCAGAAATGCACATTTTTACAAAAGTAAATTCCTGAGTGAGCAATTCTTGTATTTATAAAATACTCCAGAAGAGAGTACGACCCAAATGTTATTCAACAGCGCTGATATGAGGCTGTTTCCAAAGGATTTAATTCTGTGGTCTTCTGTCAGAAATGAAAGAATTTAAAACAAAAACCAATATGCTATGCCAAAATATTTAGAAAGTGGTTAAGTACCTGATATTTTTGGTTCAACAAATGTATCCCTTTAGGTCAGGAATGCTTCCATGACATCACAGAGCTCTCAGAAGTCTGTAGAATCAGGTCAGAAATGAGGCTGATGCTTCCCATCCGGAATAGGAGTTACAGCATCTGGTTGCAGAGAGGTATCAACAATAGATGTTTCTTTTAGACTTTGGCTTCTATTTATGTGAACTTTCTGGAAAGAAAAAAAAAGAAAGAAAAGAAAAAGAAATTAAGGAAGAAAGAAATCGGTAAGGAGAGAGAGAAGAAGGGAGGAAGGGGGAAAAAAAGGGGGAGCAGAGAAATGTGCATGTGCAGATACCTTCAGGACCTTTTGGACCTCAAAAGCATTTGCATATTCTGCCCTTCCTAGCTCCAAAAGCAGAGCTGTGAATTGAAGTGGGAGGGAGCTGCCTTCTTGCCGAGGTTTATACAACTGAGCTCGAGGGGACAAAAGGAGTATCTGTTGATAACTGCCACACAGCTGAAGAATTCCAAGTCTGCCACCTTTGAAAACTCAAATGCCAGAGCTGCACCAAAGCAGTGATGGTATGATGTGGCTTTACTGAATTCATAACTAAGAAGTAAGAATTTAGTTCATAACCTCTTTTCAAATAGTTTTGAATGCTACTTTCTGTGCTAATAAGAGCAAGCTAAATTTAAAAGCTGTCCTGTTCTGTCATAACTGAAGCTAAGATCAGAAATGTTGAATGTGTAAGGACCATAGAAGAATCGAGTATTTACATCATTTGCAATTTTGTTGTTATAATCATCTCACTTCAAATGCATTCTTAATGGTTATTATACTTGTCTTTTGTAGTCTTTAGTTTCTGTCAAGCTAAATGTGTCAAACCAAGTGCTGGAGTGAGCATATCTGTGAACTTCCCATTGCCAAAATGAACTGCGGTTGTGTTACTAAATAAAATAATACTGTGACATTACTTGTTTGGATAACTGTCCAAAACTGGAGTTTGCACAATCCTTGACATCTAATGTAAAAATATTTAATATGAAAGCAGTTTTAATACCAGTTAGCCATCTAAATTGAAATTTAAATTTGCTTCTTAGAATCCAACAAAAATATGACAATATTGAACATATGAGAAAAAGGAATGGAATGGGATCAGCTGTCCAGTTTAAATTGATTTTGTAGACCTGTTTCATTCTGCTTCTATGGTACAAAGGAGTGATCAATTTTCAACACATTGGCCAGCAATCCACCAGAAGCTGAAGAGTGGAATTTTTAGCCCTGGAAGTCAAACAGGTGACTCAGGCGGATGTCTTAACTAAGGAAGAGAACCCTGCCCCAAGGATGGTTGCTGTGCTGCAGACACAGCAGGTATCAGAGGTGTGACAAAGGCAGCGGCTGGTCTGCTGCTGAGATCTCTGCCCTAATCAGTGTCGTTTAATCGCATTCTTCTATTTCTGTCAAGTTGTTATCTCTTTTCGTGGTTTTAGGAGCTGTTTTTTGTTTTGTTCTCAGGTTTATTTCCAAATAGTCCCACTACATGAGCTAAGGCTTCCCTGGAGGGCAGGTAATGAAACATAGAACTTAAGGAAGGCGTCCAATCCTCACTGATGCACAACAGCAGTGCAGATACGTTTTGATACGAGCAAATTTGGGTGTATGTCTGCTGAAAGCTGCTAACTGAATGCCTGCCTATTAGCGTGTGTGCCCTGACTTTGGCAGTACAACTTTTCTGACCATGGCACGGGGGGAAAGTTCTGTGCTGTCCTTTGAAATACATACTGTGTTTTAGCATTGGTATCTGTTGTTCAGATTGGCAAAGGCTGAGGGCGTGTGGTTATCAGCCCCGTGCCTGTGATTCCGGCTGCCCCTTGGCTCCAGTCTGGCAGACAAAATACAAGGGAGATAGAAAGGAGGACATTCTCCTGCGCTGGGGACCGTGCAACTGGAAAGGTAGGAAACAAGGGGGAAAAGGAATGCATTCAGATGTAATAAAACCGCGCTTCTGCCTGTGCTTAGTGAAGTTTCCAGAGCAAGGCGCTGCTTTAGGCTGAACGCGCTCTGGGTTCTGGCACGGGCCGGATTCCTGTCCGCTCCATCAGCTAACTGTCACAGCACTATTATTAGGCGATTGCTTCGCGTGTGCCATAAAGCGACCGGGGAGCTGACGGCGGCAGGTTATAAAGCCGCCCCGCTGAGGGGCATGAGGCAGCAGCGCTCCGCAGCCGGGGGTGAGTGTGCTGTGCGGGACTCGGGGCTCCCTACGGCGGGGATCCGGGACGGGGACACAACCGCTGCCGGCCCCGGGGCTCCGCCGCCGCCCCGCGACCAGGAATGCGCAGCCCCCCTCCCCGGTTATTTATAGCTCCGTGGTGCTTCCAGCCCAAAATAAGCCCGTTGGCCGGGGACGGCTGTGCGGGGTGGGGGCGGAGGGGGGGGTGTGAGCTGACGGGGCGGCCGGGCTGAGCCCCCCGCCGCGCCGAGGGGCCGGGCGCGCCGAGCGGCCACGGGCCGGGGCTGAGGCTGAGGCGGGACAGCTGCCGCGCCGCGGGGCTCGCCTGGAATGCGGGCGCCGGCCGCGCGCCGCGACTTTTATGGAAAGTTGCAGCGGCGGAGCGGCGGCCGCAGCCAAGGGGCGCTCCGCAGCCGCCACCGCTCCCGCCCGCTCCGCCGGGATTACGCCGAGACGCAGCGGCGGGGCAGCGCTCCCAGGTAAGGAGCGGAGGGGCTCGTCGGACCGGACACCTCGCCGGGCAGGGGTTCGCTGCATCCCCTCTGAGAAGGGCGACGGAGGGTCGGTGGGTTCCGCAGCGCGGGCAGAGCGGCACCGGGCAGCGCGGGGCCCCGGGACGCCTCTGGAAGCGGGGGTTGAGGCTATGGAAGGGCAGGAGAGCCCGGCGGAAGGAGCTCCGGGGCGGCGCGGGGTCGCGCTACGGCGCTGCTTTCCGCGGAGCGGTGCGGTCAGAAATCCCGCGCGGCCGTGAGACGCGTGGCTCCGCGCGAGCGCACCGGGAGCTGCCGGCGCCGTGCTGAGCGGTTGTGAGCGCCGTGCCGATCGTTTGCTTTGGAGCGCAGTGCTGTTTGTTAGCGGCTTCTGCCGCTGTAAGGCAGCGCGGCTCGGGGGAAATAGTGCGCTCCTCTGACAGCTTACCAACGATTTGTCACCGGTTTTGGCCTGGGTGTAGAAGAGCTTCTGTCGATACAATGAACGTTCGCGAAGAAAACGCTGAGGGGAACGCAGCACCGTTCTGGAGCCAGCCGGTGTGCGGCTGTGTGTTACAGAGCGGTGCTGTTTTGCCCTCAGGTCTCTTAGAAAAATGCCTTGCAAAACGAAATTATGAAATGATAATTAGTCCTATAGGGAGGCCAGTTGCACTAAAGAATACACACCAACATGGGAACACATCTGGTATGTGCAGAAAACCCTCAGCGCGATACAAAACTGGGCAGCCAGCAACAGTTCAGGACACATCCCCAAGAAATGCTTTCTCTGGCCGTGTCTGGAATGCCATACATGGGTGTTTTCCTCTGTCAGATAATCCATAACTTACAACATGTGGACATTCTGCCTTGTAGCTCTCAGCAAGGAATGGTGCCACAGCCAACCTGGAAACGAGGTGGGGAAAGCTGAGGTGAGCTCAGGGAGCGCTCGGGGTGAGCCCTGCTGTGCTCTGTGCTGTGTCCTTGGTGAAGGCACTGCCCTCAGACATTGGCCCAGCACTCAGTAGAGTGGAGATGGTCAATGGAGCTCACTCCAAGTGTGAAGGATCCGTGTGTCAGAGAAGCAGCACGTAGGGCTGTGTGCTGGCATCTGAGATAGGAAGAGGCAAACTGCAGCCGTACCTCTTGCGCAGCGTTTTGTCCCACATTTCTGTGCCCGCTTTCCAAGTCTGTCAGTGACAACAGGAGGAGTTGAGCTGAAATTTAAGGGTTTCTCTTCAGCTTCTGGGACACAGCGGGGGCTGGAGGAACTGTGGCATGGGGCAAAACGTGCATTTTTCTCTCGGGGATCTGGCTTCACAATTTACTGCGCCTCGTAATCAGGATCTGCAGATATCTTGGAACATGGAATCGTGGGCCTGAATATCTCAACAGTGCTTCCCTGGGTCCCGTTTTTTCTGGAGTATGCCTACCCATAATTGCACCTGAAGGGACCAAGGAATTAAGGGGCAGACCTCTTCCACAGAGAGGAGTGATTTTATTTTTCTAACACAGCAGCTGGGCTGTGTGGCATTGTCACATCCAGAGTATTTAGAGTTGTATGAACGTATTCAAAATAGTACATTTTAATAAACAGCACAATATCTGCAAAGGCCATTCTGCTGCAACAGAAGACTCAAAATGCAACAATTTGAAAGAGGGAGGAAAAGATTGTAGATGAAGTTGAGCTAACTGAGTCAGTTTTTGGTAGGTCCTTATTAATAAGTCTAATCGTAAAGACTTCATGAATTAAATACAACTGAGTGGAAGTAGTTTTGTATTCTACAAAAAAGCAATGACTGGGCAGCTGGTGTTAATTGTCATTGCTCATTGGCTGCAGTTTATACCAGCTCAGGACCTTCCCCCGTGCCTGATAATTTTAGAATCTACTTTAGTATCTGTAATTTAGTACAACAACTGGTAGTGTCATACCAGAGAAGTTGCAGTAAGGACAGAAATGGTGAGCCTTGCTCACCTTCCCCTCCTCTCTCTAGTTCTATTTAATCCTTCTTTAAATACTTTAGCATTACGGACTGTGTTTTCCTCTCTTAAGTGCTTTGGCTGCAAGTGCTAAGTTTCCAAGTCTCACAATATGGTTTTCTTATATAATGGAATCTTCCCTGCAAGTGGATCACAAAGAGAGACAGATGGTAACCGTAACTTAGACCGTGCTGCAGAGGGCTTATTTATAACTCACAGTAGCCAGGAAGACGGCAGGGGGGCCTCCTGAAAGGAGAAATCACAGAGCAGCTCGACGGTTATTTTAAGTCCTGGCTTTGTACTCCCATTTGTAAAGAGAAGGAAAACATTTGTATTTCTCCACATCTCTCACGTGAGGATGTTAATTACTCCGCTGAAATAAAAATAAGTTACATTTAAGTAGGTAGATTTCAAGACTTAGGAGCTGTCAAACCTCTTGTGTCCCCCTAATGGTTAATTTGTTCAGTTTTAGGATGTTTTGCCTAGAGTGAGGTTTTAGGAGGTCTGTGTGAAAAGCTGAAGTGCAACAATCATAACAAATTGAGACGTATCACCAGAGCCGATGGCATAACCATTAACAGCATGCAAATAACATGCTTGAAAACAGACACAGTTGTTTTCTCTGTGAATTACCCAGAGTATTTCTGATCTATTGCCTAGTTTTCTGCATGTTAGTGGTTTTGTACTACATTTTGACTCAAAACTTTTGAGAGATGGCTTTGCATTACAGCCAGTCAAGCCGTGCTCATAGTGGTGCTTTCTCTTCCACACGGTTCCAAATGTAAACCATTGGTCTAATGTTGGAGGTTAAATTTTCCTTCTAGAAAAATCCTGCTGTATTCTTCTTCTAAAGATGGAACTGCAATCTAGCAATTTCAGTACAAACATGAAAATGCCAGGCTTAACATTTCCTGAGATGTATCTCAAGCTTAGGGAGGTAAAATGTGAGAAAAAAATGATGTAAACAGTGTGATGTGAGTGCTAAGGTGATGAAATTGGATGGGAAAAGAAAAGCCTTCACTTCTTGGTCAGTTATGTTCAATATTGTGATTGTGGGATTTTCGGAGTGCAAATCTTTGTTGAGGAGCTCCTATGACTTTTCCTCTGATATGATGATCTCAGGAAACAAAAGATAGAGTGAATCTTAAGTCTTGACAACTTCATAGCAGAAGGACAAATGTTTTCTGAAGTAAGTACACACACATGTAGACCCTTGCTGCCCTAAAGAATAAGCATTGCTTGTATTAAATAGTATCTTACTTAAAAGTTGCTATTGTTAGAAAATAGCAAAATGTCGAAGTTTCTTGGATTGGAAAATTTGCACATGCTTTCTGCAAAGCTATCAGTAGATGATGAAGGAATTATTCTTCCACAATTTGTAGGCTTTAGGATTTCCTGACCTTGAAGGAAGCCACTCGAGGGGTCCCTGAAGCAAGGTGCTGCTGCTGTTCATGTTTGAGGGGTGAGGAGGCAAACATGGGCTGTATCATGTGTAGTGAGGACCTACTGCTTTACATCCATATCTATTAGTATCAAAGGTGGAGGCAGGATGACTTACAGCTGCAAAATGTGTTGCAGCCAGCTGGCTAACCTTCAAGCACATTAACAGGTAGGTGATGCCAAAGGATTGGAAAGTGACCTAAAGTAAGAGGAGATGTGGCAGTATTCCAAATGGCAGAGATGTATCTACCATCTTGAAGGCCCACAACAAGTTAGATTAGCACATTTTTGAAAGTTCAAAGAGCAGGAATTTACAAGGATGTGGTGCACCAGGCCCAGCATTGACAGCGGGTGAAGGAAGGGATTGTCCCACTCTTCTCCTCACCTCAAGCACCACACGCTTGTTTGGTCATCACAACATAAGGATGTAAAACAACTAGAGAGCATCCAAGGTTTGTGAAGGTAGTGAAGGGTCTGCAGGGCAAGATATATGGGGAGCAACTGAGGTCCTGTGGTTTGTTCAGTGCAGAGTTGATAGGCCTCATGGCATGCAGCTCCCCACAGGGAGCAGAGGGCAGTTCTGAGCTCTGCTCTCTGTGACAGCAAGAGGGCCCGAGGGAATGGCATGGAGCTGTGTCAGGGGAGGAGCAGGTGGGGGTTAGGGAAAAGGTCTGCACCAGGGGGGCATGGCCCCAAGCCTGATGGAGTTCAGTGAGCATTTGGACATCGCTTGGAGTACTTTAAGTGAAATGAAGTCATTCCTCACAAGAGATTAACGTTAGGACTAACTTTTCTGCTCCAGCCTTGCATTAAGGGTTCTCTCAGACCTTCATGAAAGAATGAGGAAGTCAAAGGGTCTTCATTAGTTTTAAGTCATATTGATTATTATGGGATATCACTTACCTACACAAAAGAAGATAAACTCTTAAAACACCCAAACTCAAAAGCACAATACACGAACGTACTTTAAAACACGTAGCAGGCACATCCAACCTGCTGTCCTGGGCTGAAATCAGGGCATGGGGTGCAGTGTGGTGCCAGCTAAAGTTATGGCAAATATGCTTATGGATTTTGATACACTGGCTGAACACAGCCCCGTGAGCCTCAAAAAATATGCAGCCATGCTTTCCATTTTGATACAGGAATTTGAGAAGAGGTTTCAAGATTGCAATATAATTTATTATATTATATTATAAATATTATATAATATATAATATATTATATATAAAATATAATATATATTATATATAAATATTATATTATTATATAAAAAATATAAATTTGTTTTGTTTGTGAGTCCATTTTCAGTCAACATAAATATATTCCATTAGAAAATTCACAAGTAATGTATAGAGTTGCAATAAAAAATTTGATCATGTCTCTTTACCAGACTTTTATAAGCCCTCTCTTACCAGAGTGAGATCCTTTCACTTCACAGTCATACCTTCCTCTTGCCATTGCTTTTGCTGTACGTACATTTGTGAGCAACTGAAGGATGAAACACAGCAAGAGTAAGATTTCATCCATCATCTCTGATGGACAGCTTGAGAGCTCACTAAGAATTGCACCCACTGCCATCAAACCAGACTGACGCGTTAGTTTCACAAAAACAAGGTCACATATCTCACGAGTTCTTTGGTTTTGTAGCTCTCTTTTTAATGTTTTGATAAAAAGCATTAAACAATTTAGTGTTGTTACTTTATATATATTAAATACGTATTCTGAGGGCTGCTTGGAAAGTAATGCCTCCTATTTTGTTACATTGTCCCATGACATCAGAGGCAGACATTGGAGGGACGGCAGTAGAGGCTGAAGCTTCCCACCAGTATTCTGTAACATGTTGCTGCGTGGCAAATGGCAGAGGGGCGGCCTGACCAAATGGCCTCTGGCTTCATGCACACTTTTAGGTCAATGCGTGTAACTGTATTCCTCCATGTGGAAAAAATGGCGCTCACTGACCTAGCTGAATGGTGATGGAGACCAAACAGTGGATGCTGGCACAGTGAAGTGGTGGATGGTGTGTTTCAGCAGTGGTTGTAATGGATCAACTCCAGTGGTGCAGATTTTTATGACCGCAGCATGCAGGGTAAAATTGCACAGCTAATGGTGGTGATGGTGGTGACTGTATTGAAAAATAGCATTCTGTAGCTGAGAATTTGTTCTCTCGAACTGATACAGTGCTCTTTGTATTGGTTGTCTTTTTCACGGAGATAAATAGGAGGCATTAGTTTTGGATCAACCAACACATATCCAGCCCACAACAATTCCCTCTTCACTCTGCAGCCCAGGCAAGCCAAAAGGTTGGACATCCATGGCATACAGGGACCTTTAGACCAAGAATGCTTTTAAAGTTATCTGTCTTTCCAGACACAACAGAATTGTAAGCTGCTTATCTGAAAGTAAGTAGGAGCTTACATTTAGTACTTCTGCGTCCACAAGTGACAAACAGAAATGCATTCTATACATATCACTCTACAAAGAAGATCTTTACAAAAAGATGCTTGTCAGTCTGATTTGGGCAATGACTTTACATACTCGTTTGAAAATGAGAAGCCAGATGTTGAAGCTGAATTCCCAGAATTCAGGATTTGTCAGTCAGGGCAGGCCGTGGTAGCCAAACACTCCTGATTCCTATATTGTGACTGCTCTGGCTTAGATATCTTGGGATATCTAAGAATCTCATTCAGCAGCTAAAGCAGCACCAGCCACAGTGGATGCCTTTTGCGTATTTCTGAAGAGCCAACATAAAGACAATTCCTAACGCTCATTATTTTTAATGCCACATAAAAATTCCCACATTTGTAGTCTATTCATAATTAAGAATGAGAGAATTTAAAGCCTGTTTAATTAAGCATAAGGTACCCTGCCATTCCCATCTTATTGTAAGGGGAAAAATGTAACAAAAAAAGGATCAGAGTGCCTTCATTCCTTACATCCCTAGGATCCCTAGGATCCCTAGGATTGCAGTGTATTTTTTGTTTTGCATATTTCTCCATCTTTTGGAAAAATGAAAAACTTGCCTGGCTCATCTTTTTTTTCCTTTTTATTTTTTCCCTCCCCCAAAAGATACTACAGACAAAGATTATAAAAAGATCATAAAATGCACTCTTTTTAACTTTTCAAGGAAGTGTCATTTCTACATCAATATATCTAAATTCAGCTCATATTCATGTGACAAAGTCCTTTTGTAATTATTTCACAGAATCATAGTATTTTTAAGTCTTGTATGTGCCTAACACTGGCTGGTGGGGGATGTCAGTTCCTCAGTGCACTGTGCATAGGAAGAGTTTGGAACTCAGACTGACCGCATTGCAAAGTTGGGGCTTTCCTTGATTTAGCAGGAGAAAGGGAGTCAGGAATAAGCTGTCGTACATTAAAGCAAAGCAGATTCTGTTCCACGCTGCCAAAAAAATACTGAAGGTGTAACTGAGCCATTAGCATGTTTCTTGTGGTAATAATCATCATGGTTCTATTCAAGTAAATTTGATTTTCACAGACATCAGCCATGATGATCATCTTGACTCAGGAAACCGAGTGCCTTCTAGGAATTGCTTGCTTATGGTTTTGCCAGAAATCTTTAAGTCTTAACTACAAAGCTTCAAAGCCAGTTTAGTGCCCACTGGAAGACTTCTGTTTTCTAACTTTTGCTGTAAGAACGCTAAGCAAAAAATGTTGACATCAGCTCAGATGGAACACGTTCGTTTGTTTGTTTTTTCCAAGGAGTAATTATGGAGTCTGAGAACTGACAGAATCAAAGCACAGTTTTGTGAAGATTCACTTCCTAGAATCAGGGCTATAAATAGGATTACTAAATGACTACCATCCATGGACTAAGACTCTTCTTTTAGGTTTGAATAAAACCACAATATAACTTGTCTGCTCTCGTTACACCCCAGTCACATTCAGTTCATTCATAAAGTGATGGTTTGGCCTCTAGAACAGGGAATGCTGCCATTTTTGGTCACATCCTTGTGTGACATGGCACTCCCGCTATCTATAGTACCAGATAGTTTTTAGTTGTTCCTGAAATGTTTCTCTCCACTTAATAGTTTTCATCCCCTCAGAACTGCATACATGCGGTATGGGGCAAACAAAAAAAAAAGTTTTGGCTGTGATTTTTCTCCTCTTTCAGACTTGTACAAGTAACCTCACAAGGTAAGTCAAGATGCAAAACCTAGCTGAAGCCTACCTCCATTCTCTTGCACACTCCATGGCAGTAGGAAGAAAGCACTGCTTCTCCACCAAAGCCGTACAAAGGCAAGGCAGCATCTCCAGCAGGCAGTGTTTGGCCCGGGTGTTCTGCGGACTTCTTGCAACCTGAGCTCGCTGGCTCAGACCTCAGCCTGAAGCGGAGCAGCAGAGGTGCAGAGCACATTCCTTTCTGCTAGCACAGTATTGAGAAAAACAGTTTCGTAACAGGCAGCCAGGGCAGCCAGAGCTTGGCTGAAAGCTCGGACTTTCTTTTTAAAATGGAAATTAAAAACCAATATCTGGGACTGTGTGGAGGGGTATGAGCATGAATAGTGAAACACAAGCTTGTTCTTTTAATTACTGTTGCATACTTAGAACCTATTCATTTCTTCGTGAACCTCAAAGGACCAAATGAAATTGTGATACATCAGTTTCAGCCCATGCAAACTTATTTACAGGAAGATGGTCAAAGCATCATTTAAAAGGAAAAGAAAGGAATTTAACTAGAACTGTTTCTTTCAGGTAGAAACTGAAAGCAATCTTAAACATACCAGGTACAGAGCGGCATACCGTAACCATGAATGACATTGCACAGAAAACTGAGGTATGTACTAATTTTAAAGTAATCAAAGTAATATAGGAATTTACAACTGATGCTTGTAAATAGGGCAGTTAAAAACAATTGTAAAATACAATTATCCTGCAAGTCTGGCTGTTACTGATTTTACCGTAAGACAATTGAAGGATGCTTCAGAGCAGCTTAAGGAAGATCACCTGATTTGATGAAATGTGGGAAGTGTTCTTATTGGTATTAAAAATGAATGAAGAATGCAAAACTAAGCTAACAAAATATGAAGAAACTTCATGTTGGGGAAAATTCAGGCTAAAATATTATTAGAATTATTAAAATATTTCTTCTTGTGCCATGATACCATGAGTGGCAGGAACAAAAGCAAAACATCATTACAGTATCTGCTGTTGGTTTAGGTGGAAAATATGAAACAGACTTTCTTTCAGCCAGTTTTCTCAGCATAACTGTATTGACTACATTTCAGCAGTCACTGCAGTAAAAAGATGGAAAATGTAATATTGCAAAGTAGGTACTTCTCTTACTTAGGTATTGGCAAAGATGTGTTCATTACCTTTATCAGGATCAGATTCCTGCAAGCCGGGATCTTGACCCTTAACACCATAAAATCTCTGGATGAATTTCTCTGAATATTAAGAAAAGAAATAAGTATCTAATATATTGGAGGTTTTAAATGAACTAATAGTACCATGTATTTAAAACCATTTACAGATGTGGAAGAGTTGCAGAACACAGGCGTGTTCTATTACACGTCTGCCTATTTATTTTAAATGCAGTCTTAGGGGTGTAGGACCTCTTTGAGTGCTTACGATTTCAATGCAACAATGCAAATCTATATATAATGTTTAAGCCCATAGAAATAAAAAAAAAGTGTGCATTTATATTTCTCATATACTTACTTATGCGTCACAGTTTTTAAGTTTAATACAATGCCAAAACTTGTTTAGGATATTTCTGTATTTATTACTGTTTAGTTTTGAACAAATACTTAATAGATGATGGCTGGTGGCACAGAGTTCATAATCCCAAATGTACATTTATGTTCTTACATTCTTTCTAATCCAGTCTGCTTCTGTTCATCTGTTTCAACTTTCTTTTTCTTATCTTCATTTCTTCTATATCTTCATCAAGATTCTGCTTTCTTCATCTAAACCCGTCCAAAAGTCCTATGTGCCCAAGCTTCACAAGGGTGATGTAAAGGATAAATTTGAAGCTATGCAGAAAGCAAGGGAAGAAAGAAATCAAAGGAGATCTAGAGATGAAAAGCAAAGAAGAAAAGAACAATATGTTAGAGAGAGAGAATGGAACAGGAGAAAGCAGGAGGTTACTTTTCTTTGCAAATATTTTATGTTATTTTAATATTCAGTATTGCACGTGAAAGTATTTTCACATTATTTAAAGACAGTATCATTGGAATCTCATTTAAGGTGTAAAAACTGTTTACTTTTTCTGTATTTCATCAACCAGATGAAAGAACTGCTTGCATCTGATGAAGATGACGATACAAAGTCATCTAAGACAGACAAAGGTTATGTTCCAAAGCTAATAGGTAAGAGAGGCCAAAGTTTAAAGGCCACATAACCCGCTGGGCAGGTATTAGATCTCGTTACCGAATTGTGTGTTTCATACCACAGGAACTGTTAAAGGCAAGTTTGCAGAAATGGAGAAGCAAAGACAAGAAGAAGAAAGAAAAAGAACGGAAGAAGAAAGAAAGCGCAGAATTGAGCAGGATATGATTGAGAAAAGGAAAATTCAAAGAGAATTAGCCAAAAAAGCACAGGAGGTATGGTGATCTGATCAAAATAAGGTATAACTGTAAATAAATCAGAAAAAGTTTTGTATTCAGCAAAAGTACGCTTTAAGATTTCTGATAGTAGTGGTTTACATGGGAGATACTGAATGGGATGGAACTGGGGAAGAAAGTGAAGACAAATATTCTCTAAATAATCTTTAGGGTAATCGTTTTTTAAGCTTGAGTTACAGGCAGAAGCAGGCAGACATAAAATGTGGTAGGAGTAGAAACCAGGCACAAGCTGGGGTTTGTAAGTGTTTATAGTATTTACTAAATTAATCTGAAAATATTGCTTTGATTTATGAACCCTTACTTTAGGCAATTTTTGCTTATTTATAAGTAAGTACAGTTCAGTGATAGATAAACTGAGGCAAGGAAGAAGTAGGAAAATGACCTCATCAGGCAAGTATATGAAGGTACAAATAAACTAAAAGTCATGATAATTCAAGTCATGTTTTATTCCTTCGTCACTTTGTGAGCTGTCTCTGCATCCACACGTAAATAGACTCTAACTGTGCCAGTAGAGGAAATCTTGTCATTTGTAAAATTTTGCACTGGGGCATCATATTAAATTCCATTTGTAAGTTTTCTTCAGTGCTGCAAATACTGCAGTGCAAGTAAACATTGAGATGATAACCAGGACCATAAGATTTATTTATTTTACAAAAAGTTAGGAATATTTAATTTAGGTTGGGGTTTTTTTTCGTATGAAAAGAGGTTTGGCTTTTGGTAAGAAAAGAGAAACAGTACTGCAGGAGAACTCAGTTTTCAACAAGAATTTATATAGTCTTTTCTACTTTCAACATTGTTACATTGCCTGCTAAAAGTAGTTTTATCCAGCAAATATTTAATTTACTTTGAAGGACAGAATTATATATCATGGAGAATTTTAGAAAGAATGTTACTGTATAAAACTACCACTATTAAGACTCCAAATACAACAGACTTTTTGTTGGCAGCTGAGGGGAAGACAGTGTCACTAAAATCAGAAATACTTCTGCTTTCATGTTTTTTGGTTTGTTTGTTTTGGAATACAATTATGGAATGCTCACATGAAGAATGAACACCTAAAGCACTTTTCTCGGTCCATCACTGAAGTGTTAAGAATGCTGAAGCATGCTTTGTGTACGATGTCACGTTACCTGTTCCTCAACTTGCTAACCTACCCGAAATATTCCACCAAAGGCTCAGCCGTTACCATCTCTGTGAATTTAAGTGCTGCATACATATCACTGACACACACACACACAAAAAAAATAAAAATCCAGTTCTATGTTTGAAAATCTAAAGGCAAAGAGCCAAATTAATGTAATCCTATGAAATTCTTATTTAATAGATTGATGACTTTAACAATACGGGAACTGAATCAGCAGCAGAGGTAATCAGCTTTTTTTTTTAAAGAAATGTTCACCTGCATTTTTATTCACTTTGCTTTATTACTGTAATATGGGCTGGGAGGAGTTCCAAAAGGGCACAATTATTTCACTGCAGATCAACCAAGACCTAAGAACTTTTTAAAGCATGCAGAAGTGTTTATCTGCACTTAAAACTCAATTATTTAAGTTTTAGAGCCTGAAGCGTGAATAGTATGTTGAAGGGTTCAGAACACCTCAAACACAAATATTCAAAGCCACCACAATGATTTGAGGCATACTGACAATGATACTCTAAATCCTCTGGCTTTGGAAAGTATCATCATAAAGCTCTTTGCCTTAAGCTTGTCACTAAAAGGGGGTTCTGTCAATATACTGATGTTTGAACAGTGGTCTCAACTTGCTGGTAACTTTTTTTCCCCTCAAATGAACTCATTTAACACATGGGTTTCTATTTTAAATCTTGCAAACAAATATATGATTTCAAAAATCTAGGCTTGAAGGTCCAATCACCTGTCACCACCACAAAATCACATTCCTGTTACAGTTAAAAAAGAAAACAACACACCACCAAAACCTATTACTTCTAAGTTATTTGACAGTGTCCTTGTTATTATGGTATCTAACTTAAAAAAAAAAAAAAAAAATTGGGTGAAGCATATTTTGGTATTTAATCATTAATCATTATCATTAATTTATGAAAATAATTTTGAAGCAGAGACATCCTTCGAAAGCAAATTAATCTGCTTGACAAAGAACAAACTTCTAGTACTACCTTATCCCAACCACTGTATCTCTCTTATATAGTAAGAAGTAGACTGCCACCTCAATTCCTACACATTCAAAATTCAACTTGTTCTTATCTTATCCCAATAATGAATACTTATAAGAAATAGTTAATGAAAATATATAAAGAAATGACACCTTGCCAGCAGTTGTGTTTTAGGTATAATTCAGTCTTGATGCTTTCAGATATTACAAGAAAATTAGTGACTGTCAGAGGCAGATAGTTTTATTCTTGTTAATACTCAGTACAAGTAATTATTTTGGAACTTTTGGTGCACACAGGTAAAAAAACCAACAGTTTAAGAATTAAGTTACCTAGAAGCCAAGCTTTATGAAAATATAATAAATATCTTTTTGGACAGGAAGGGGATGATTCGCTACTGGTTACAATAGTGCCTGTAAAACCCAACAAAACACCTGGGAAGATGAAAATAAACTTTGATGACACAGGAAAAGAAAGAGCAGAACAAAAAGGCAGACCAGATGAAGAAATGAAGCTTAAACATGAGGAACAAAACCAATTCCTTAAGGAAACCAAGTGCCTTTCATTTCTCACGGTAAACCGCTCATCTGAGAACATCTAAGCAATAAACATGTATTATCTAGAAGGCAACTACTGCATTTTTCTTATACAGGGTGAAAATCAGGACAATGAAACACAAGCATCTCTGTCACCTGGTAAGCTGAAAGTAACTTTTGAAGAACTTGAAAGACAAAGACAGGAAAACCAAAGGCGGCAAGCAGAGGTAGAAGCAAAACAGCGTTTAGAAGAGGAAAAACGTGCCTTTGAAGAAGCGAGGCAGCAAATGGTAAGTACATGTTCTGTGCATGTTGCAATAGAATTTTGATAGAGGATATGCCTTTACATCCACTCCTAAACCTGATTCTTATTGCTTAGCTCCATTTCAAGCTGAAAATTCTGTCACCACTAAGTTTTGAAATAGACGCTCTCATCTTGGTTCTAACTCACTAACCAAACAGGCATAACTCTCTTATTTTAATAAAACAAGGAAGTTTTGTGTTATAAATTTGTTGTCAATATTATCAGTTGTCATATCTGCACTTTGTAGTACCTTAAGCTGTATATCCTCAAGAAGAAAATTACTTTTCTGATTTGATCACGAAATTCATTTGTTTCAGTAAGCAATTTTTATGAAAACATTCTGTAATTGGAAAATGCTACTTCTGACTCCCACATTTATTTATAAATACAATATATTATGGTTTTTTTTTAAATTTGTTTTTATGAAGAAAAGGAAAGACAGGTTGGCTGTCTTGCAGGTAGCGGTGTGAATAACAGCGTACTACAAATTACAAGATTCAACAACAAAACGTCACTCAACTCCTGTTTTATATAATTTGCAAAACTACTGCCAGTATCATAAGCCAGACTTATTTTAGTTCAACTATAAACAGACCTCACCATAGTTTGCTCTTCAGTCACATTAAAGGAATCACTTAGCACTAGCTAAGATAAGATACACCAGATGCTTCAGTACTGTATTTGCTATTTTGCTACACTCTCTTTGCAAAAGCTTTATTTTGAAGTTCTCTGTTTAAGTATCCTTCCTCTATACAGTCTCAAACATTGTGACTTTGTTCATTCACATATAAAGAAGTTTAATGAGTCTCGTTTTTTCATATTTCATGAGACCTCTAAACATATTATTTCTAGGAACTTGCTAATTTTAACTTTAAAAGAACAGTGTAAACATAAATTACCATTCTTAAACAAACAAGATCATTATATTGACTATATTTCAAAAACAAATTGCTGCTCGAGGGAAAAACAAAACAAATGAAAAACCAGCACAAGACAGAACCTCCAGAAAGCTGAACTTCTGAAATTCCCTCAGCTCAGGCAGATGCCAAACCTGAAGTTAATACCTGCTTCACCCCTGCCTCTTGTCTTCCCTCTACCCTTGAAAAAAATTACCTAATCATTCCATAACAGTAACCTTGGCATTATGTCACTAATACTCATTTTTGTTTTCTTTCTGGAGTAGAGATACGAGTGAAAGAGAAAAGAAAATGAAGGAGGGGGAAATCTGCGAAGTTACTGTAGCCACTCTAATTGAAGTTTTCTTCACATCTCCCACCCTCATATATCTGCATTTATTAACCAAGTCATATAAAAGTCTGACAATTGAATTTACAAATTCAAAAGTAAAACAAGTCTCCCCTGTGGCCATTTTCTACTATGCAGTTATATCTGGTATCAGTGGTTGTCAAAATGTCAAGTAAAAAGTTTCCTTAAAGGAAGAGTTCAGCACTTCAATTCCTTAGATTCTTTTTTTTTTTTCTTTTCCCTTATGAGTTCCAAATAAAAGACCTCTGTAATTCCCTCAGCTGTCTACCCAACATACCAGGCTTGCTTGCAGTACGCAGATAGTTGGAGTATTAATACTCTTGACAGTTCCCAGTCAATTTCCACCATTAATAAATGAGGCACCTCATGATATGCTCTGAAGATGGTTCATTCTTTTGTTCTTCGCTGCAGTTTGCAAACAATGGGTTTCTCTTGGCAGATAATGTTTACTGGAGATAAGAAATAATGAAATATCTCACTTCCCTTTCTTCAGTGATGATTAAATGTCTAAAAAGAAGAGAAACAAAAACGTCAGTCTGGATTCAAGATGTTACTTTAGTTTTGCTATAAAACTACAGCCTTCTTTCAAACTGCTAAGTGAAAACTCAGTGGTATAAAAGTCAATGAAAATGATGTGAAGAAAGTGAATAGGGAGTGCTTGTTTACAGGAAATAATCCAACCCTGAAACTATGAAACAGCTACTTAATTGTTTGTCCTTTTCCTGATAAGACATCCTGCTTTGAAGTACACCTTGAAGTGATTTAAATAAATATAGAAGGGATATGGGATTCTGAAATATATTTCCTCTCTCTCTTTGCTGGTTAAAATGAAGTTTAAAAAGTTTCTTCTAGGAACCAAACCATCATATAGAATCATAGAATCCTTGGAGTTGGAAGGGGCCTCTGAAGGCCATCTAGTCCAACTCCCCTGCAATGAACAGGGACACCACAGCTACATCACTCTGCCCAGGGCCTGATCCAGCCTCACCATGAAAGTCTCTATTTTTTCTCCAGGAGAAAAAAACAATTATAAAGAATCAGAAAGGAATTAGTGGAGTATTTATTATTCAGAATGGATACATAAACAAACCAACCTTATCTCAGTATTACATATATATATATTGTATATATATAAATTTATATATTGTATATATATATATTTATTTTTTTTTCCCCCTCTCTGTTTTCTCTATAGATAAATGAAGGTGGCCATGAAGAATCTGAAAATTCTGGTAGAGAATTCCGTCCTGGTAAACTTAGGCTCAGTTTTGAGGAGATGGAAAGACTGAGGAGAGAAGAGGAAAAGAGGAGAGCAGAACAAGATGCAAGAAGACGTATAGAAGAAGAGAAAAGAGCATTTGCTGAAGCACGGAAGAACATGGTATGATACTTTGTTTAGTATTTAGTTTATCATTTTCCATCAGTCTCCACAATGAAAGGGAAAAGTTTTAAATACAATCAGGTATATGCTCTAACTTTATTTATTAGTTTACCCTACGAATTATTAGAAGCTAAACTAATCAAGGTTCTCCATAAAAAATTATCAAGAAATTATCCTTCCTCAAAGCAAGCCTAGAAAAGATCTCAAATGAAAACCAGATGCTGTTTCCAACTGCTAGTACTATGCTAGGTGCAACAAACATGGAAAGCAGAGTATCTTCAGAAGGAAGTTTTTGTTTTTGGCTGGGTGCAAGGAACAAATTCCAGTCTCCTTAGCTGCAGTTTTCCAAGTTAATCTCCCTACACTTTTTACTCACTTAAATGTAATTAATGCCACACTAGAAGAATGCTCACTGCAAGTGCATATTCTGAGGTCATCTGTGGCCCTTGAGGAAGGAAAAAACGAAGAAGCTGAAGTCAGCTAATTGATGTTTTTATTGTATTTCATTACTTGTTCAGAGAAACAGAAAAGGCAACTTGTGGAATTTACTGTTGCAACTTTTTATACAGAACATCAATCTGGAACTGATCCCTGTGATATATGATGATAGAATTTGAATTAAGATTATATCAAAGATAAATTTTCAGGGAGCTGAAAGACTGACACAGTGACATTATTTGGAAGGAGAGATGGATGCCTAACATCGGAGAGTCGGAGCAGTAGTTCATACACAAAATTGCATGGAGTCTTTCACTGCTTATTCCAAGAAGTTCAAGTTTCAGCAGGCTTTTGGATATAAGCCAACTACTTTCTGGTGGATGCTAGGAAATACAGTGTTAAATTAGTCTAATACCAACTGAAATGCAAGTATTGTATTCTTCAAAACAAAGGGCAAGACGTACCACAAAAGGCTGTGGAGTAACACACATATCTGGCAATCTCTTCCTTCATCCCCCGGTGTGGCTCTACTGAAAGACCATCTGCATGCCTAATTCATTTTCTTTTTCTCCATAATTCAAGGTGATGCTTGTGAAGCAAATTAACATTTTGTATGGCTTTTAGTACTGTTAGCAGTGCTCCCTCTGGCTGAAAATTGGGCTGAAGACAAGACCTCTGCTTTGAAAGACTACCCACAAAATTACAATGTAAATTTATACCTGATTTTGTACTGGAAAGCAAATATTGAAAATAATGTCTGTGGTCTGTGCACACCTCTGAAGTGGGAGCACAGTACCTTAAGCCCCTGGAAAAGGAGTGCTACTGGATTTCTGCTATTATAATCTTTATGAAAAGTGAGCAGATAATTCAAAGAAAGTAAAGCAAAGGCACAAAAAGCAGAATGCCTTCTGTTTTTTACTGCTTTCTTCAGAATATTTTTTCTGCCTGTGTAACAAAAGCTTAAGCATTCCGGCAAGAAGAATCTCATTGATTAATCAAGGCTTAATCCATTTGATGCAGCACAGCCTGCAACTGTAACAGCAGACTTAAAGATGTTCACTAGTCTAAAAAATTAACTGAAGACGTTTTTAAACACACACATGCTTGAAAAATTTTCTGTTAATTAGCATCCTGAAAGAATACAGAGTTTCCTTAGAACAGAAAATACAAGCGTTATCCACACCTACACAATATAGCAGCAATGTGCTGATGTGCTTTTTAGCATTTTAAGAACACATTAGTCATCTCACTCAGAATTACTAAAACCTCGTGTTCATTTTTAAGTGTTTAAATTGTTGTTTTAGAACCTCTTCAGACTTCTAGTTCTTTTTGAAAAAATACACACAAACAGAAGTAGTAACACTGCTGCTGAAAACCACAAATGCTACCTCTACCTCCTTTTGCAAGGACCTCCCAATTTTACATTTTCTTCTGCTACTTCCACGCCTCCCACTATCAACTTGATCCTTTTCAGACTCAAGCATTCATTTCTCTCCACTGTCAGTCGCTTTCCATTAGTAACTACGTGAAGAACCTGTCTTTGTATGAACAAAAGCTGTTCTATTTTGTATCAATCACTGTTTGCCCACTGAAAATTGGCTAGCAGAGCTGCACACCACTGCTGTTGCAGGACTCTTTCCCACAGCTCTCTGTTCCCATTTGTAGAAATCAAACCAGACCAAGCCACAGTCTCACATATAATATTTACCAAGCTAACCACAAGGGTTTTGTGTATCACACAATTCAGCTGATATTATCCTTTCTCTTTTTTTCTCTTAAATCAGGAATAAGTTAGCTTACTATCCTTTCATTACTGGCTCAAAAATCCAAACAGATGCAGTTGTTTGGTCATATGCACTTTTTAAGTTCATACACAAATATGTTAATACATTTTGAATTAATGCTTCTTGCTTCATAAGCATACAAATTCATACACCATCAGAAAGAGACTTGCACAGCTCTTTATCAACTTAGCTGTAGTTATCTCCTAAAAAATATGCAGCTCTGCATTGTTTTCACTGAAGGAAATAGTTTACAGCTTCATTTTTTGGACTCCACTTCTCCATGACACAATTTCTACAACTATGCTTGTATTATGCAAAACGAATGAAGAATGGAAGGAATGGTGGGGCTGAAGTCCAACTGAAAGCTTACTCACAGGGAAAATTTGAAGGAAATCTATAGTGACTATGAGTATTTGGTTGAGCCAAAAAGAACAACAACAAAAACCACAGAACAATTACTGAAGGATCAAATAAAAACAGAAACTGGCAAAATAGGTCAGAACAGCAGTATGAACAAAGATGGCACAAGCAGCAGTAGAAAGTGCAAATTACGACAGCAGTAAGCAGCAATAAAGGAGAAAGGGAAGTACTAAAGCATTTTGATGTGCATATATATATATATTTAATAAAGTTAAAACACTTTCTCAATTGAAAGCTTTGATCCATTAATCCCTTCTAGAATTTGGATGATGACTCCTGTTAGGAATGTCCAGAATTTCAGGCAGACTGGGCTCCACAATGTTTGCCACAAGACTTTTCAAACATGCACTGACTCAATCATGCCAAAAGCTGTTATTTTTGTGCAGTTCTGGATCAGTATTTGACCTCATCTCACACCTTACAGACTGCTCTTGTTGAGAAAGTCTCTATCAGTGTGACAGGTTTACATAGTTACACACGCAAGTAGACTCACATAGGTTTTTACCTAGAATTTGTTTTCCTATGCAACTCAGATGGCTATGCTATCACCCCTGCTTTAACAAGTACAGTGGAATCAAATACTTGTTTCTAGATTTCCTGCTTTTGGAATTAATTAAGAAGTGCTTTTCTGGGGCCATACAATCCTTTTATAAATTGGTCAGAAAAAGAAGCCATCTTCTCATGCAGAATGATCATTAACGCCCAGCCAGGCTGCGCAGCCTGAGAAAAGGACAGGGAAACAAGGAAATCCTCACTACAATGAACTGGCAACATGATTTTGTATCTTCCATTTGTGCATAAGTTTCTCACAGACAATTCTTCTCACTTATACATATTAGCAATAGTGGTATCAAAGAAATATAACACAGTTTGCTAGAAGAAAGACTACAGATACTTCAGTGTTAAGGGCAATGCCATTTAGACAAATACTTCATTTAAGGACAGCCTGTGGAATGAACAGGAATTTACAGCTTTGAGTCCCAAAGCTGCTTTTAGAGGACACACTCTCCCATCATCTTGTAGAAAAGACTGCATTTGTACAAACACCTTCATCTCCATTATAAAAAGTTTAGTGCTGTAGTAAGAAAGAACAAAACCCCCAAACACTTTCCTTCTCAAAACATGAGACCTGTTGCTCCATTCCTGCATCTCTCTGCTCTGTGGCAGAACACTTGGATATTTCCTCCCAAGTCCCCCTGCCATTAACAATCTGAATTTCCAGCAGGTGCTGGATGATGATGAATCACCAGAAATGTTTAAAACATTTTCTCAAGAATCTCTCATCCCTGGTAAACTGGAAATCAATTTTGAGGAGATGCTGAGACAAAAGATGGAAGAAGAAAAGAGACGCACGGAAGAGGAGCGTAGGCAAAAGTTGGAAATGGAAAAGCAAGAATTCCAGCAGTTAAGACAAGAAATGGGAGAGGTTTGTACATCAAAAGATGTGTTAAGCATGCTCTGAAGAAAAATACAATGTTCAGAGTTCAGAGTTCAAGATTTTAACTGGGAGTTCCTTTTTAAGGGATTTTAAAACCAATGCTTCTGTATTACGTGAAAAGAATGAAAATCAAAAATATCTTTTTATAATGTTGCAGTCATTTAATTAGTGATCCACCTACTAAAAAACTTGTATCCCCTTGCTACTCTTAAAGTAAAAACAATTTCAAATTTGTCCTTTCAGCATTTTATTTTAGTTACCTGCAGATTCTTCTGTGTAAATAAAATGAATACACTGTCTTTCCAACCCAGGGAAAACAGAAACACCTAGGTTCAAAGTTAAAAAATGAAAAAAAAAAAACAACCAACCAAAAACAAAACCAAAAGAACAAAATTCCTGCCCTGTTCAGGGGGATGCGGTGTTAAATAATTTGGAGAGAATTACAGTGACCTCAGGTTGTTTCTAGTGAGTGTATCAAGGATTTGTAGGCTGTCACAGCTCATTTTAAGAATCACACACAGAATTCGCCTTGCATACCAGATGACTGGAACATCACATTCATGAAGCATACACCAATTTGATTTGGTTGTGGGTGGTAATTTTCAGAATATGATTCCCTTTTGAAAATTAGGGAATGACTTTTTTTTTTTGTAAGCAAAGCTAAAGCAAGTAATAGAAGCTTGTGGGCTTTGCAAGGACATTTTGCATGCTGGGGAAGAAGACAGACAACTGAAATATATTCTCTTACTGCCTTCAGAGGTCATGAAGTGATAGAGCACAATATAAACAATTACAGCTGCAGACATAGTTTGACTACAGTGTCCAGAAAGGTCACTTCTTTTACAGCTGTGACATCCTGAAATCTCGTTTTTTTTTTTTTTTTTTTTTTTTTTTTTCCTGTAAAACCAGAGAAAAGACGTTTTAAAATTAAAGCTTAAAGATGCTATAAACTCAGTATAGTCCAGACCACACTGAGAGAAAAGTTATTGGGGAGAAAAGATCTTCAACTTGAAATAAATCCAAGCTAAAAGAATTGTTCAAGTGCTTAAAGTTACACCAATCTGTGGGGAGAACAGGTAGTGAAAATAACCAGGATATATTTTCTATCTGATATGTTCTGTTATTTCTAAACAGCTGGAAGAGGAGTCTGAAACTTTTGAGCTAAGCAAAGAATATGAAGAATTAATAAAGCTAAAAAGAAGTGGTTCCATTCAAGCGAAGAATCTGAAAAGCAAGTTTGAGAAAATAGGACAATTATCTCAAGAAGAAATACAGAAAAAGATTGAAGAAGAACGAGCCAAAAGAAGAGCAATGGATGAAGAAATAAGAGAAAGGGAAGCTGAGAAGTTTCAAGAGGTAATTTGTGTTCTGTATGGTAATGATTTACTTAACTAGCACAACTAATAGTACTGGGCACTACTATTGCTTTCACCAAAATTTGCTGTATTTCCAACACGATTCTGTCCTTACTTCTCTGTTCCCTTCTTTGGATGTATGATGGTGGTATCTCTAAAACTGCACCAGTTTATCATCAATCATTTGCACTCAAGCAGAGATGTGTTTTTCTGCTCACACTTCAATTCAGCACTTTAAGAAACTGCTGGCCTGAGGTGCTGAAACATGCTGACTTTTGAGTCTGTTCTATTAATGGTCATGCAAGTTGCTGCTCCTTCTGAACTCTAATTCGCTCTCCACCAGATAAATCAAAGCCCCACACTGAGGCTTTAATATCTGCAATCATTCACTTCAGTATCAGTTCAGAACGTCTTAAACTTTTAATTTAACGAGTGACACTAACATTTCTATAAGGTCAACAACCTGCTTAAGTGTTGAAGCCAGAACAGCATGACATAAAGTTAAGTGACAGCACTTAGCATTGCCCCAGGAGGGTACGCTGCTTACACGGGAAAGTAAAATCTCTAGAAAATATTTTTCTAATACATTTGAAATTACTTTTGCAAATATTTTGTATTTCTGTCTTCTCCCCTCCCTCATCTACTCTACAATAATTTTCTGTGATCATTAAGCTGTTTATTTTCCAAAAAATGGAGCAAATGCCCAGCTAAAAATAGCAATCCACAGAGTAGATAATTTAATTGGGAAGGCCTGCTTTTCATGGCCACAAATAAAAAGGCCAATAGTACAAATAAGAACTTGTACAAGCAAATCAGCAGTGACTTCTAAGACACCAGCTATCTGCACAATGCGAAGAAAGGTTCCATATCTCTAGTACGTGACAGTAAGAGACAGCAAGTATTCCAATTACCATTTCTATACTTTACAAAAACCCTGCATTTTTCTTTTCCTTACCTTAGTTTAACAGTTTATCGTCTCTAATCCAGAGCTACAGCTGTAGCCAAAGTTATTTCTATTGCGTTATTACAACATACTGCTATTAAAGTGCCATCAAGAGTGGGGCATCATAAGAAACATCTGAATTCATAGTACAGACTTCTACCTGTACAATACATTGTTTCTTGAATCCATACCTTGCAGACTCGAGCAAGTTGTTTTAGAAAAACTTGTAATTGAAATATTAGACTAAGGTTCATCAAATGAAATGTTTTTGGTAATTTTTAGGGGGAAAAAAAAATCACCCATCTCAGAACCTGAGAAATTATTAAGAGACTTCATTTTAAATCCAACATTAACAAATCTGAGGGGAGAAAAATAACCAAAAGGACTCAGGGAGGCTTTGCACAGTTAAGTTTACTGATGTGTTAAACTAGTACTATCGCTGTGAACATTTAAAAAGTAAAACATGAGTATCTCCTATTTTTTTTTCCCCCCAAGGATGACGAGGTAGATGTGAGACCAGCCAAGAAATCTGAGGCTCCATTTACTCATAAAGTAAATATGAAGGCACGTTTTGAGCAAATGGCAAGGGCTAGGGAAGAAGAAGAACAGAGGAGAATTGAAGAACAAAAATTACTCCGCATGCAGTTCGAACAAAAAGAAATTGATGCTGCATTACAGAAGGTAGAGATTACAAAGTACCTTTTCTTCAGTCCTCAATGTCATTTAACTTGGCTTCTGATTACCACTTCTGGCATTGTAGCCATCAGTATAAAACGAGCATTATACTTACATAAATTACTGTATTTGTGTAATTGCTTTTGAGTTAATATTTTGAAGAGCACGAGAAATATGTTGGAAGCAACCTGCAGTTTCCTTTAAATATTCTGAAAATGCAATCACTATTCATGCCTATACTTTCCCCTAAGACACCAACCATACCAGCTACATTAAAACAAAGTTTAGACAGCACTTGCTGCTTGTTCCACATTCAGAATGTTGTTTTCTAGCATGGATAGGCATCTCCCCTTCTTAAAAACAACAGCTTTTCTGTAATCAACTACATGTCACTAGCAGTCGTGCTGCTATTGCTACTCTGAAAATTCTAAACTGGATTATTTTAAAACAGAAAAGGGAAGAAGAAGAAGATGATGAGGGAAGCGTTATTAATGGTTCTACTTGTGAAGATGAGGAAGATCAAGCTCGATCTGGAGCTCCCTGGTTCAAGAAGTCACTGAAAAACACATCAGTTGTTGATGGTGAGCCAGTGAGATTTACAGTTAAAATTAGTGGAGAACCAAAACCTCAAGTCACATGGTGGTTTGAGGGGGAAATGTTGCAGGACTCTGAGGACTATCAATATATTGAAAGAGGAGAAACCTATTGCCTTTATTTGCCCGAAACCTTCCCAGAAGATGAAGGTGAATATATGTGTAAAGCAGTCAACAACAGAGGCACATCTGCTAGCACCTGTATTCTCACCATTGAAAGTAAGAGTTAGTATTTTAATTTGCTTAAATCTCAAATGCTCTTCTTGTATCTTTCCTATTATGAAAAATCTATTAATCTCTCTCTTAACCTTTTTATTTTCTAGCTGATGACTACTAATGCTCTACTTTAGCTGGAATCTTTCTTCCCCTCAAAACTTTCTTACTGCATCATCTCTTTTTCTGATGGGGCCAACTAAAGAAAGCAAGGATATGCATTGTCATTCCTGCATCAGATATGAATAACCTTCAAGTTGTGCATCCAGGTTCCTTGCTCAGTACAGAATTTAGTATGGCAGGCTAAAAAGAAGGAATCAATGTGTGAAAGATCAACTAAAAGGAAAAACTGAATGATAGTGGCGCTCCCATATTTGAAGACCAACTGTTGTGTAATAGTATAAAGCTAAATACACAATCTGGAAACTTTTGTAGTAGTGTAAATCTACTGGTATAGTTTTGCATGAGCACTAAATATTTAAGCTGTCTTACTTTATCCCAGAGGCATAGAACTGGCAAAAGGAAATACTTATCGATGATTTTTCAAGAACTCAGTGTATTATTTTTAAACAATAAAAGATTACATAACTGCTCACTTTCATTGTTCTGTGGTCTAAGAGCATTAGTTTGGTGGCTGTGTTTTTTTTTAAATAGACTTGCATTTGAACTCTTAAGCTCTTATCAACCCATGCAGTTGGTAATCCAAACAGTACGAATAATCTCAGTAAGGCCTACAGTTATCATTACAGCATCAACATTCGCTTGTAAAAAAAAAAAAATCTTTTTCATTTCTTAAAAGACACAGAAACAGCTGGCAATGAGCCAACAGTCAGTTGACAGGAAGGAAACATTTTCAGCAAGTACATCGTTTTTCAACTTTCTTTTGATGCAGTGAATTTACTGCTGCATCTCTAAACTACACCTGCTTGAGGCGTAGTTTATTTTTCAGTAAGATCTCTAAGGTATCAGTGCTAAAGTCATTGTGCTAAACCCATCTGAACTTTTTAGCATAAGCTTCTTTAAGAGTTACTTCACAAATAAGCCACATTTTCAACTGAAGAGCACATGCAGAGCCTTAGCACAAAACATGATAAGCTAGAGTAGTTTAAGTTTATGGAATCATGTAAAAATTATTAAGAAATTTTACTACGGTAAACATGCTGACTGCCATTAGTATAGTTACCTATGGAAGTCACTCTTTTGCCTCAAAATAGTTGTAAAATTCAGAGAAATCTTGAAAAAAGTTATAAGTTGCATGATGTTTTCAGTGAGTATTTTAATAGCCACATAAATAGACTTTCATGTGGGTGATGTTCATTCACATGAGTCTTTGTTGCGATATCTTTCCTCTAGAGCTGTAACTTCTAATGGAGGCAGGGTAGGAGCATAAGAAAGACAAAAACATTGCTATTATTATCCATCAGTTTACATTTATTGAGAAAAACCATACAAAAAACATCATACAGTTAACGTGTACCCATATTACATACAATGTCAATGCAAGCTCAAAACCACATTTTTGTAAAGCATTCAATTTACCTCAAGTCCAAGCTGCATCTCCCTAAGACACTGTTCCCATCACAGTTGCCTTTTAAAGCCAATCTTCTTTTTACACACGGGTAGTTTCTGCAGAGAACACTTTTCTCAGGACGAAAATGCATTTCACATGCACGCAAGAGAAATATTTGTGCATACATACGAGTTTTATAAGCTATTACTAGGGAGGAAGGAATCCTATCAACTGCAGGCTTTCTGAAAGGCCCGGTCCTCCCTTCCTCCCCCCACTTCCAGACAAAAGCAAAATAGGAGCCCTTAGCATGCAATGGAAAACTTAAAATTACTTTGGAAGAGAACAGGGGAGAAACATTTTCTGTCATCTGATACAGTAAAATACTACTGGTAAAAGATGAAACATGTTAAGAGAGGCTGTGTAAGTGAAGAACGATCCTGTCTGCCTGCTCACCTTGAACAAAACATGACCTGTGATCACGCTAGACTGAAGATTATCCACCTGACATTTTACTTCATGTCCTACTACAGTCTAGGCTGCAGAAAGGTATATGAAAAATCTTTTCCCCACTTAAACATGCTTCCCTTACAGAACTTTTCATATTCTTTAAATTTTATCTAATTTGTTAAGACTCAAGGGAAGAGAAAAAAAAAAAAAAAAAAAAGCAAGAACCACATAAACGCAGCTTATGGACAAGTTCATTACATTTCTAAGAAAGTCTACTTAACTTCTGCCATCAAAGTAACTCCAACAATGTTGGTGTTTTTTGGGTTTGTTTTTTTTTTTCCTTTTCTTAAAATTCTCCTAAGAACTACGAATTTGGAGAGTTGAAAAATAACCACCTCATGTAGTACAACAGCACGCCTGTAAGCTCTGCAGTGACAGTCAATACACCTCAAGTGCTAGATGCTGAGGTAAGAAACTCGTCCTCCACACCCTAGCAACATTCCAATAAACCGGCTTTCTTCCTCATTTCCTCCCACTGGCTAAACTTACCAATTGAAATATTGTTAGTAGTATTTCAGGAATGACAGTTATAAGCAAAAAAGTACCATGTAAAATGAAGTGAAGAAATGACTCACCCCAACACTAAATTCACAGTATCAAAATCCAAATGGTACACACCTAACTTTTTCTTGTGTCAAAAATGAAGTCAAATCACATATCACACTACAGATAATCAAATATTAAGTAGCTCGAGAAACTAAACGACAACTATTGATTCAGTTCAAAAAGTCAAGATATCTAAGCTTGACCATATAGAAGAATACAAATTAAAACTGCTTGTTTAATATTATTAAATCACAATTAAAAAAAATAACAGATCATGGAACATTTATGGTCAAACAAATAATACTTTAAAGAATGAAAAGTGATCAAAACAAAAATTATACCCTACACCATGGGATACATTTCAAATCTGTTATGCTTTTGCCAATTTTACCTTCTACATGGAGCCCTTCTATGGTCCATGCTCATCGGCTCACCAATGGCATACACTCAAAGGATTCCTCTTTACTGGTAGTAACTATCTCAGGACCTGATTCTATGAGCTATGATTTGGTGCTTGCAGCATCTTCAGCACTGTGTGTGAAAATGAAGGCAGTATTTTTGAATATTTTTCTTGAATGTACAGATAAGCAGGACTTTTGAAAGAGGAGCAGCACATTTCAGAAACAGAATAATCAACAACAAAAAACCAAACAGATGCTGCTTTACTTTAAGCTAAAAAAAAAAAAAAAAAAAAAAAAAAAAAAGAAAAACCTGTACCAGACCATCTGTAAGACATACAAACATTTTAACTATCAAAATATACAGCAATTCAGTTAAAGTATCAAGAAACAAGATACACTGACTGATATATGGATAAAATATTATTTGCTGTATTGTTAACATTTAATTGGTGCACATGCTTTTCCAAGTAAAACATACTAATCTGTGAAACTCCAGATTCTATTTTCCTACTATGTCAAGTATGAATTAACAAACTAAGTTATCTAAAAATGCCACTAAAACACTGCAACTGTAAGACAAGTCATCAAGTTCAACGGCAACAAGAAGTCATATTCTTTGTATTTACGTCTTATGGGCTGAGTCAGAACAGTGCCCTGCTATAAAAAACATTTGTGAAGGCTGTTGACATTTCTATCACAAGTAATTCCTGCATATTGTAAAAGTTTTGATTCTTTAATTGCAACAAGTAGCTATTTGAGGAAAAAGAACAAAAAACAACTACTTATTCTGCTTGACTTCAGTTACTGCAGTCTACTCATCTTTTCTTTAAAAAACAAAAAACAAAAAAACATATTTACCCAGAAATATAAACAGTTGTTTAAAAACTTAAAGAGACTTTCCACTGAAATGGAACCGTGAGTAACAATGCATTTGGGTAAGCAGAAGATTGCTTTTCAATACACAACCACAAAGATCTCACAGGGACAACATTAATGTACTGAAATATTTAAATTTATATACTTCCTTAGGTTGTGCTTACCTGTTGCTTTTTTGCAGCAGAACCTAAGGTGGAAGGTCTGGGAAGGCACTGTGAAGTATAAATAATTGCACTGTTTGCAATTAATAAAGATTTTATACCTTAAATGAATCAAAATCAACAGCCTCCATTTTGTGAATGATAAAGAATCCAGTGAATTCAGTTTTGCTCAGTTCAGTACATAACAAATGCACCACTCTTTAAGATTATCTACAAAATACCATGCAAAATATCTGAACTATTATACTTCATACCCTACACTAAAGATAGAAAATACCCTCCTATTCTTTATAAGGTACCAGAATAATTCCTAATTGTTAAAGGGATAAAAATAATTCCTTCCATTTCTACAGCACAGTACATATATTGCTAATTACCTGAATAAACTACTTCAAATTTCAAGCCTTAACTTTTACTTCTCTGTGCAGCCACCCTAAAAAAATTTATTCTCAAAGCAACAATACGTTGTTCCAAGAAGATAAAGTAAGTTACAGAATTAAAACATACCTACATCACTACATATCTGCAAACTATCTGATGACAAAAACAACTTCTGTCTATCAAGTGGTTCCAAAAACTTCAATGTTACGATATGCATACTTTAATACACTGAATGATACAGCTGTCTCAAGAGTACTAAAGAAAATACTATTACTCAGATAAACAGCAACATAATTCTCTCTTTTTTTTTTTTTTTTTTTTTTTCTATTGCTATAACATTCAGGAATACTTACCCACAAAGCTCACATTATGTGTATATAAATATGTATATACGCAAACCTATGTTTCTGAATTAAGAAGCAATTAAGATTTCCTAAGATATCAGCACTGTATTCCAACATAATATTCACACAAGTATGGCATTTTCATTATGTGGAACATTGACAAAAAGATACTGTTGCAGTTCATCAATTTGTCATTCTGATGTACTTACAGTGCAATGCTCCTTGAAGGAACAATCAAGGATGATACACAGCACAGTCCTCCTCACCCCTACAGAGCTAGTTCTATACTGGCTGGATCAAACCTGCACTTCAACAGACAATGGCAAGACAGACTGTATTGCATGTTCTCTAATATATGCAAAGAGCCAATAAATATGCAAAGAGCAAACAGGATTTCAAGAGAATCAGATTTTTAGTATGAGCATTAGAGCAAGAAGAAATTTCAAGTATATTAAAAAAAATAAAAATCAATCGATTCAAGTACTGGAGTATTTACGAAAATAGAAGTTATCTGCTCTGCAGGAAGTTCTCAACCACTCCCCATCACTCAAACAAAACAGCGTTTCAAGGACAGATGCAATTCCTGTAACTACTATGCAGACCACATTGACTTTTCTACACTGAATTTTGAGTGAACTACTTTTAACTGAAGGCTTAAGCACATTAGACTTAAAATAACTTTTATAACTAGCCTGAAAAAATCCTTAAAATAGTTATGCAGGAACAGGTTTGAAGTATTCAATTAAAAACAAAAGTCATCTGTTGTAACAGCTGCACAGGTCTGAAACAGTGGTCACATGTAAAAGGAAATTTCACTGTTAATGCAATGGAAGTATGCCAAAAGATCACCTTCGACACATGC